AGCTCAGCAGCTGGCAGCTCACAGGGCAGAGATGGTCTCAAAGGCCCTGAGTGACACATGGCCTGGGCTTTGGCTTCAGTTCTCAGGTAGGAAGTTGGAAGTTCCTGCTCATCCTTCACTTCCTGCCAAGCATGATTCTGGATGTTTCTGGATGAGATTATCATTTGAACCAGTAGTTTGGGTGAAACAGATTGCCTTCTTCATGTGGGTGGTCCTTATCCAATTCACTGACTAGGCAAAAAGTCCACCTTCCTCTGAACAAGAGACTCACCTTCACACTGGGACTCACTGCCTTTGGACTTGAACCAAACCATCATCCCCTCCTGGGTCTCAGGCCTGTCAGCCTTCAGACTGGAACTTCACCGTCAGCTTTCCTGGGGGCTCCAGCTTGCTGACTGCAGATCCTGGGACCCATCAGTCCATAGTCCTGTGAGCTAGTTTCTTAGAATAAATCTTCTCTCTCTGTCTGTGAGAACGAGAGTTGGTTCTGTTCCTCTAGTGAACCTTAATACAACCACCACCAGTACCCCGGCCTCCCCTCTGGTTGCTTGCTTCTGTTTAAGAAACAGTCTTATAATCCACTCTGAAGAGGAGCCCAGGGGTCTTTATTTCTTCCCTCCCTCCCCCCCTTCCTCCCTCCCTACCTCCTTCCTTCTTTTTTGGTACAAGAATTAAACCCAGGATGCTTAACCCCTGAGTCCCAGCCCCAGCCCTTTTTTATATTTTATTTAGAGACAGGATCTCGCTGAGTTGCTTACGGCCTTGCAAAGTTGCTGAGATTGGCTTTAAACTTGAGATCCTCCTGCCTCAGCCTCCCAAGCTGCTGGGATTACAGGCATGTGCCACCCCCTGGCACCCAAGGGTCTTTCTGAGGGATAGCCTCTAAAGCCTGAAGAAGCCCAAAAGATGACTCAAATGAGAAGCTATTAGAGGGGTCAAGGTAGTACTGTGTTCTGAGTCCCTCTTGTGGGTTGCCATTGAGCATTTGAAGGTCAGGGCTGCTGACCCATGTCAAGAAGAGGGCGATGAGCTGCAGGACACTTGAGCACGTTGGCTTAATTCATGTCCTCCTCAGTGTCTGTGTCAGTGTTCTTGGTTGCAAGCAAGAAAAACTGCCTCTTGTTGACTTTAGCAAAAGTGGACGRAGTGACATTAGGCATGAGAAGAAGCCAGGCACCATGGCTGTAATCCCTGGGGACTTGAGAGGCTGAGATAAAGGATTGCAAGTTGAGGCCAGCCTCAGCAATCTAGTGGGGCCCTATACAACTCAGTAAGAACCTGTATAAAATAAAAAAAAATTTTAAAAAGTGCTGGGGATGAGGCTCAGTGATAAAGCACTCCTGGTTTAAATCCCCAGTACTGAAACAAAACAAAACCAACCATGAAATGGAGGAGAGCATGCTGAGACAGATCGGATCCAGGGTGCAAAATGGCTTTCCACAAATATCCAGGGGGTCCAGAAACAGGCAGCAGGAAGCAGTCTGGTAGATTGTAAATTTCCAAAAATAGCCACAGCAATATTTCCAGTCCCACAAGCGCCTCTAGAATCTTCCCCACCTTATGCTTTCCCTTCCTTTGAAACCGGGAAGAACTCTCTAACTGCCTTGAGGAATGGAGTGTGGCACAAATGACATAGGGTGGCCCCCAGCACAAGGCCAGGGAGGCTGATGGCTTCTCTGGCACCCGCTCTCTTGAAGTGCTCACCTTGGCAACCAGCTGCCACGTTGGGAGGCCGCCCAGGCCCGTGGGAGGGATGATGGGCAGGTGTTCCAGCTGCCAGCCCCAGAGTGGGGATCGGCCAACAGCCAGCGATAACCGCCAGCCAGCAACCTGAGTCATTGAGACGGAGGAGGAGTCCAGAGTCTGCGAGCTGTCCYCGAGGTCTCAGAGAGGAGCTGTCCCCACCACGCCCCCCCAAACCGCAGATTCCTGAGCAAAACCGTTGTCCTTATTTTAAGCTGTAGTTGTTGGGTGATTGGTTGCATAGTCGTTGGAACACAGCAACTGTGTAGAGCAGAAGTCCCCCAGCCAGGACACTGTGACCGTGACACCACACCACTCCAGTGCCCTCTGACCTTCCCTCCATCCTGATCTTCTAAGAGCCAAGTCCCAGGAGGCAGCACATGACTGGGTCAAGGTGCTCAGCTCAGGCTCTTTGGGGACAGGTTGAAGAAGACTTGATGTGTCAGCCTGAAGAACAGGAAGGGGCTGTGGGAGACAGGAGCCAAGAGCTGCCCGCCCTACCAGGGAAAGGGACCTCCTACAGAGCCCCTGGGAAAGCCAGGCTGTGGTTTGGGCAAGTGGGGGGACATTATGGAGGTAGTGGAAGCTTTAAGAGGTGGGGCCTCGTTGAAAGTCTTGTGGTCACATAGGTTATGCCGCTGAAGGGGATATTGGGACCCTGGCCCTTCCTTTTCCTCGATCACTTCCTGGCTGCCATGAGGCAAGCAACTTTGTTCTAACACGTGTTCCCTTCCATGATGTGCTGCCTCACCACAGGCCCAAGAACAACAGGCCAATTGATCATGGACTGAAACTTGTAAAACTGTGAGGTAAAAATCAACCTTTCTCCTTTATAAGTTGATTATCTCAGTCATTTTGTTATAGAAACAGGAAACTAACATAACTCCCAAACTTACATGTCTGTTTTGTCTGCTGTAACAGTTTCTCAGACTTTTGCATACCTGTCTCTTCACATATAATAAACACAGAGGCTATGAGTGCATTCTCTGATAGCCTAACTTCAAATACTACACTTAAGTGCTGTGCAGTTGTGTGCAAGTGATTTAACCTCTCTGTGCCCAGTTTCCTTATTTGGAAAGAGAAAAGAATAATAGAAACTGTTTCATTGAGTTAGTTATATGAATATTAAGTAAATTAATCTGTGTAAAACACCTGAAACAGTTCCTAGCATGCATACTACTTTAGATTTTAAACATGGCTTCTCTGGCATCGTTATTAAAATTTTAGCCTTCTCAGAGAGACTTTCTCATGATTCCTCTTTCTAAAGTAGAGTTATCCTAACCCCATCACTTGAGGAGAAGGCTGTCACTTTTATTTTCTTTCTGGCACTCACCACCATATTTAATGAGCTTATTTATTTAAAAATTATGTACTTATTTACTTTTATTTCTGTTTGCTTCTCATGCCTTTTAAAAGGTCATGATTTAACACCTGCCTCCAGCGGCTAGAGGGTAAACCCTTGTGAGCATGAGACTGGGGAACACGTGTCACCATCCTGTCCTTGGGACTGAACAGAATGCAGGTTGAGGACACAGCCCAGATCCCCTTCCTCGAGGACTCCGTAGCCCCCACTGGTAGGAGAGCTGCCAGCAGCTGCCCCTCAGCTGTAACRGATTCAGGGACAGTCCCAGCTGCAGAGAGAGGTCTCACCCAAAGTCACACCCCCTCCTGGGCAATCAGTGACCGATGGCCCATCATCTCAGTCCAACCAGAAAACTGTGACAGGCCACAGCGGCTCCAGAGCTGCCTGCGGGGTCCCTGGGGGCTGTTGTGGGGCAGTGTCACGGCCCGACTTCTCCCTCTGCCCCCTCCTGCTTTCCCTAACTCTCTTTCCTGGGTGTTGATCCCTGGGATCCCCCTGAATCAGCATCCTGCACCCCAAACTGCACCTCAGGACCAGCTTCCTGGGACTCTCCCSCTACGCTGCTGAGCTGAGGAATTCCTGCCGCTGTTGGCAATCACTGGAGGAACAGAGCATCTGGAGGTTGCCGGGGACACCCTCCTGGCCGACTTGCTGAGCCTTCTGTGGAACAGAGCGTCCCTTTTCCTGGGAGTGATACATGTTGACTTCAATCTCAAAGAAGTGGCTGCCTGCCCTGCACCTCCCGCGCTGATCCTCCCATATGGAACTGGCATCAAAAACCCAGGTTTGGAAAGAGGATCTTGGAACAGAGGCAGCCCAAGAGCTTCTCCAAGCTCATGTTCCATAGGATCATCAGAGAAGAGCCTGCCTTACGGGGCCCCAAGGACCACCCGACACACTGTGTGCTTGCCCGACCTGCTTTGTGCAAAGCCCCCTACATCGATTATGCTCCACTGAATTGTATCCAGGAGGCCTCTCACCGCAGATGAGTCTGTGTTGCTGTGGTTCATATGACTTAAATTATATCATTAATTTTAATTTCTTGGACTACCTAGAAAATTTTGGAACAGAATTTCATATGCAAGTTCATTGATCTCCAGGGCCTGATGGTATCTATCTGGTCCTTATTCCAGGGCTTGGTGTCCTGTTTCGACTCCAAGCACACGATGTGCATGGTGCAGGCTGCTGGGATGTTTTGCAGAACTGCTGCTGGATGGGTGCCAAAGAAAGAAACGTCGGGCGTAGCTGAGATGGTTGGTGAGCTCCTTGATCCTAACCGGATCAGATCTGGGGCTACAGAGTTCAGGGGAATACAATCCATTGGATGGACCCTTCTTTATCTTTTCAGCTGCTTACTGGATTCTGCCCCTTGAATCCAGAGCCTATGTCTCCCCTGAGGGAAAAATCTCTCGATGTTTAAAATCTAATGCTTTTCAGGAACATGACTTTGGCATAAGGCGGAGCAAGTAGCATATGCAGGATGACTCTGCCTTTAGGTGCCCTGGGCCCAGCCAGGCCCCTCCTCTCTGCAGTGGGAGTGTTGAGGGATGCTTTAGCTTCTGGCTCTAACATCTGGGCTCTCTGTCAGGCCTGGGGGAGGACGGCTGGGTCTGGATGTGGCTAGGGCATTTGAAGGGTTGAGAGAGACACAGGGACAGGTGAGCTGGAGGGGCAAAGAGGCCGCAGCTGAGTGGGCCAGGGTGACTGGGACTCTCGGAGGTGTCAGTCTTCTAGCCAGGAGCGTGATGAGAAGGGGGAGAGGATCCCTAGGTTCTTACTTCACCTATTTGTCCAAAAGGTTCAGGATGAATGAGTCCAAACCTCATCTTACAGATGAGGACCTCCACCCAGAGAGGGAAGGGCCTTGCCTAAACTCACAGAGTAGGGCAGAGACTGAGGCAGGACTGACCCAGGCTTCTCGGCTCCCACAGAAAGGTGGCGAGGAGCAAAACAGGGGCCGAATGCTCCTCCTCAGTCCCTGACGGTCTGTCACTTGGCTGTGGCCACGTCAACAATCACAAAGCCCTTGATGTCCGGGAAGTGGTGACTGACGAAGTCCACCTGAAGCTGCCTGGGGCCACTCTTGGACGGGGTGATTTTGAACTGGACCAAGGCCTTCTCCTGGGGCTGCAGGCTGGGCACCCTGGAGGACAGGGAAGGAGGGGAGGCAGGCCATCAGCCCTCTCTCCGTCCTGAGTCTGGCCTGCCAGCTCACGGCTCCCCAGGGCCTTCAGGATCAATTTCACCTGGTGGCTTAATGTCCAAGCCTCGTTAACATGTTTCCAGATTAATCTTCCCTGCCTGCTTCAGCCAGTTAATCTCCTCCTGGTGCCCTGAACAGACCGCACCCTCCCCAGGCTTTCTCTCTAGCGTTCCTCCTGCCTACCATGCCCTCCCATGCCCACCACATCCATGGCCCACACCAGGCTTCCCTTCTCCGAGAGGCCTTCCCCGACTGTCCCAGCCGCAGACACCTCTGCCTGGAAGCCCTCCTAACCTCTTGGCACCAGAAAAGCTCCTCATTTCTCACCTAAGTCCCAGCTCAAATATTCTCCCTGGTCCCACGACACCGTGACTCAGGGCTGCCTCTGATTTCCTGGACCTCGAGGATCTACCCCTCTGTTTGCAGAAATCACTCTTCTCACGGGAAAGGCCATCTGTCCCTGAGGGTCCTACTGCAGGCAGAACCCCAGGGGTTCATCTTGGTGTTCCTGACCCTTTGCACAGGGCTTAGACCACTGGTCCATATGATCAGGAACGGTGTGAGTACAGGGTGAGTGACCAACGCTGGACAATGAATCAATACATGAGCAGAACTCAAGGGAGTGGACAGAGGAACGCAGAAATGAATGAATGAGAAGGTGAGCGAGCCAATCACCACTGAGTGCAGTAGCGGAACGAATAGTGGAAGGAGTGAGTGAAAATGTGAACAAAGGTGATGACATGAATGAGCGACCCAGTGAATGACAGGTCAGCGGGTGGGAGAGAGAATATGAATGAGTGAGATGGGTGAGGGAGCCGGTGAGTGTGTGGCTGAGGAAATTAATGATTAAGTGAATAAAAGCTGATGTGTCTTGTTCTTGGGGGTTCAGAATCTCTCCTGTTCCCCTCCCAGTTGTTTCTCCCTGGTCCATCCTAGGAGGAAGGCAGCCCTTCTCCCTAGCAGCCCTGGATCTGAGTTTTGAACTTGTAGAAAGATGCTTCAAGGACTTGAACTTGGGCGTACTCTCTGTTCGCCTAGGGCTTTGTGCACAGTAGATGCTCATGAATGCCAGTGTGAAAGTGCTACCTGGCTTTCTGGGCTCCCTTGATCCAGGGTGGCACTTACTCTATGCTGAGCTGTCCTTGGAGAAGGCCACTGCCCTCCACCATCAGCACACCATCCTCCACTTTCTCCAAGAGGGGGTTGACCACCGTCACTTCCACTGTAACTGCCACCCCCACGGTGGCTGGGCCCAGCACCTGGAAGGGCAACGCCCATGAGCCATCCCTTCTCCTCACCATCCCTCCAGGAACCCATGGTCCTGGCCAGGTCAAAGGATGGGGCATTGGCCATGTCCATCCTGCCTGCACCTACTCCTCCCTGGTACCCACCAGACCCATCCCCTGCATCCCCACCTCTCCCCCTCATCCTTGGGAGCTGAAGTTGGTGTTAATGGTACGAGCTCCCCAGTTTTTGATGCCCTCCCCCCAGATTTGAAGTGGGCCTACTGGGAAGGTAGATGTGACAGAAGCCACCTTGATGGTGATGAAATCCTCCAGGGTAATGTCCTTCTCCACCAGGAGCTTCTCTCCTTTGGAGACAAAGCACATGGCAGCCAATAGTATCTTCTTATCTTCCGTCAGGTCTTCTTTATACTGAGAGTAAGATATTGCTACTGGAATCTTCTTCTCTGGAAGGGAAAGCAGAGGTGGGAGGTGGGGGCTTGATGTTTTTCTTCAATGGTACCCCCAAGGGGAAGGAATGCCCATCAATAGCTATACCCTCTCTGGTCCTGGCAACCAACCTGAGAAAGGCCTTATTCTCTTGAGTTCATAGATGAAGAAACCTGAGGCTCAGAGAGGGTAATTTTTTCCCCCCAAAGCCTCATAGCAAGTTTATCAAGGAGCCAAGATGAGATAAAATTCAAATTCAGGCCAGTAAGCTACTGTAACACTGGATTATCTCTCTAAGAGCATCCAGAGACATATCTGAAATTTTCTCTAGTTATTCAAGATGGCAATCTCTCAGTTCATCAACCATTCCATTAGGAATTCAGTCACTGTTTATTGACCACCTACTATGTGCCAGGCACAGAGAAGAAGGAAACCAAAGATTGCCTCAAACTTCCAGTCCCATGAGACCACTTCCTCACAACTTCTCTAAAACTTCCTTCTCCAGAAAGGGCTAGTCCCAGTCAGCCCCAGGAGYTGTGGGAAGGCTTCACTGACACTCCTTCTCAGTCGTCTTAAGTTTTCTGAGCTCCCATGGTCCTGGGTGTCTCTGTCTCCTTCTCACCAGGCATAAACACCGTCCCTAGGTATTCTCTTCTTAAGCGTATGAATTGCCACGAGCCATGTGTGACCATTATATTTGTGTTTTTGGACCATTATGTTTTTTTTTTCTTTTAGGTGTAATGTGCCCTTTTTGGTTTGCTCCAGGCCCCACTCTATTGCTCTGCCACTACTTTCTTTATCTCTCTTTTCTTCCTGACCCTGGTGGCATCTGAGTTTTGAACTTGTGGAAAGATGCTTAAAGGACTTGAACTTGGTGCATACTTTCAGCCACCTAGGACTTTGCCTCAGTAGATGCTCCTGAATGCCAGTGTGAAAGTGCTACCTCGTCTTTTGGGCTCCCTTAGTCCAATAAGTTTTTACTGGAAAAGCCTTTACAACAATATTAGCAATAATTCATTATTTTAAAAGTTAACTTTCACTAATGGATTAAAGCATGCTGGGTACTTTGAAGCACTTTCATGGATTAACTGATTTAATCTTCACAACAATTCCATGAGCAAATATGATTACTAACATCCCCAACTGATAGAAATATAAAAATAAGGACAAATACCACCAACCATTATACATTTGTTAGGTGTTAGGAATTATGCCAAATGCTTAGCATATATAACATCATTTGTTCCTTGCAGGGTGATAGACCCTGGCTCCTCACGTGGTCCTGGGACCAGACACATCAGCATCATCTGAGATGTTAGAAATGCAAAACCCCAGTTCCAGCATAAAGAGCCACCACATGCTACCATGACAGGATGGACAGAGCTTTGAGCACCAGTTCAGACTCTGGGAGAAAGGAAGAGAAGGGTGAACTACCACAGTGTCCAGACCAGAGCTTCCTGAAGTCCTTTAAGTCACGGACTCCGTGAGCTGCCCTAGGAAAGCTGAGACTCTTTCCCTAGAAGAGTGATTCTCAACAGCACCATCAATCAACCCGATACAACTGACAGCCTTCGAATCCGTCACCYGACAACAGCAGAACACACATTCTTCTCAAGATCACATGGAACATTCACCAAGATATATCCCATTTTGTGCCATAAATAACACATTAATGACTTTTAAAGGAATAGAAATCAGCCCCGTGTGTCGCCAGAAGCCACTCTGTCAAGGCTGGAAGTTAGCTCTGAATACAAATACCTGTTCTCTGACCAGCAGGTGAAAGTCCCAGATGCAGGGCCAGAGGAGTCCAGCATCCATATGCTCTTATGTTCTAAAAAAATATTTTTAATTGTAATTTATTTGTGGTACCAGGGATTGAACCCAGGGGCGCTTATTCACTGAGTCAGGTACAGCCCCTTTTTTAATATTTTATTTAGAAACAGGATCTTGTTGAGTTGCTTAGGGCCTTGCTAAGTTGTTGAGGCTGGCTTTGAACTTGTGATCCTCATGSCTCAGCCTCCTGAGCCACTGGGATTACAGGCATGCACCATTGCATCTGCCTTCAACATGCTTTTAAATGAAGAGGATAAAGCTGTCCACATTAGAGAGAGCAGGAGATGCCTATAAATTGCAATACCATGGAAATTAGACTTCACAGATACAAAGTCTTTATCACCTTCTCCAAATACAATAAGGGAAGATGATTTTGTAGTTTATGCGTTATCTTGTCTACCCCAATGAAGAGCTATGGGGGAGTAGTGAGGAAGAATCAGGGACCTAGTTACTACCAATTGCACTGGCGATTCAGAGTCTAGAGCCAGGCTGACAGCATAGGAATCCTGAGCCCACTTCTGAACAGCTTGCAGATTTAAAAAAATTTACATTTCTCCATGTCTGCCATTCCCCATTGGTAAATAATTTAATTCCATGGCAAACATGGCATTGAGCTTCCTCTAGGAAGCTCTAGGAAGTGGGGTTGTGGAACACTGAGTCCTCCCCCTTCTTGTGAGTCCTTTCCCTGCCCTGGGTGACCTGCAGCATCCCATGATTCCACAGGCCACATGTCTCCACTTCCAAATGCACTTTCGTCTGCAGACCTTAGCACTCTCCCATCAGGAGGTAAATGTACACCCCTTCCTGTTGAATCTGGACTGATCCAGGAGCCTGTTTGAACCAACAGATGATCATGGAAGTGGTACTGTGTACCTTCCAAAATTGGGATTTAAGAGATGGGCAGCTTCTCCCTTCTCCTTTTGAAATACTCCTTCCTGGAACCATTGTACCCTATCATGTCTTTGCACTTTTGCAATGTAGGTCTCCTCCCCACTCCAAGAACTTGTCCCCAGGTCCCCTTCTACTTCTAGCAGCCTTCCTTGATGACTTCCCTTCCTGTCCCCGCTCTCTGCAGGGTGATTTTCCATTCCCCAAGATCCCCACCACATAGCAGCACTAAGCACATCATCCTGAGATTGTCTGTTGTCTTCCCATTTCTCCATAATCTCCTGGGTGAGACACAAATTCTTCATTTTATCTGTTTCTATTGTCTTGATATGCAATGAGAATTCAATGAATGCTTACTTAATAAACTAATAAAATATGGATAAGAACCCCTGCAAAAAAAAGAAAAACATAATAGAAATCATATCATGTATGCTCTCAGACCACAGTGGACTCAAACTAGAAATCAATAACAGAAAGAAAGCTGGAGAATACAAAATACTTTGAGATTAAACAACACAAAGAAGAAAGCTCAAGATAAAGTTTAAAATATTTTGAACTAAATGAAAATAAAAGTAAAACTTCAAAGTTTCTGGGATGCAGTGAAAGCAAAAACTAAGAAGGAAATTTTTATCATTCAAAGCAGATAGTAGAAAAGAAGGAAGGCTTAAAATCAATAACCTCAGCTTTCACTAGGAAACTACAAAAACTAAATCCAACATAAGCAGAAGAAAAGGAATAATAAAAATCAGAGCTGAAATCAATGAAATTGAATGCAGGAAATCAATGGAGAAAACCAACAAAACCTACAGCTGATTGACAAGATCAGTAAAAGCAATGAGTTTCTAGTCAGGCTAAGGGGAGGGGGGAAAGACACAAGTTACTAATATCAGAAGGGACACTACTATATCCCATGAACATTAAAAATTGTTGAGGAATTTGTGGAAACTATATGCCCTCAAATTTGATAATCAAAAATGGTTAATTTGATAACCAAAACCCTTGAAAATTTCAATAACCTATCAAAACTCACAGAAAGAGAAGCAATTAAAATACATCTATATCTATTAAAGAAATTGAATCAAGCTGGGTATGGTGGCACATACCTGTAATTCCAGCAATTTGGGAGGCTGARGAAGGAGGAATGCAGTCCAAGGCCAGCCTCAGCAACTTTATGAGACCCTGAGTAACTTAGTGAGACCCTGTCTCAAAATAAAAAATAGAGCTGGGGATGTGGTTCAGAGATAAAGCACCTCTGGGTTCAATCCCCCTTACCATAAAAAAATAATTTGAATTAATATTTAATATTTTTCCAAACAGAAAGTACCAAGCCTTGATTTCTTTGCTAAGTAATCAAGGAAGAAATTATACTAATTCAATCTCTTTCAGAAGATGGAAGCAGAGGAATACTTCCTAATGCATTCTGTGAGACCAGCATAACCCTAATATCAAAATCTAGCTAAGACATTACAAAAAAAGAAAACCAAAGACCAATAGCTTTTATGAACACAGATGTAAAGTCCCTCAACAAAATATTAACCAATAAAATCCAATAATGTACAAAAAGAATTACACATCACAATCAAGTGGGGTTTATTCCAGGCATACAAAGTTAGTTAAATATTTGAAAGTCAATTAATGTAATCTACCAAATCCACAGAAGAAAATCACATGATTATAACAACAGATGCATAAAAAGAATTTGAGAAAATGCAACACCTGTTCATGATAAAAAAAACAACTCTCAGCAAACAAAGAACAGAGGTGAACTTCCTCAACTTGTTAAAGAACACCTATGAAAAAATCTATAGCACACAGCAAACTCAATGGTAAGAAACCAGAAGCTTTCCCTTCAAGATCAGAAACAAGACAAAGATTCTCTTTTGCCATTCCTTTTCAACATCATAGTAGACATCCTAGCTATTGCAATAAGATAAGAAAAGGAAATAAAAGGTATACAGATTGGGGAAAAAAGCAGTGTTTGCTTATAGATGACATGATCAGTTATGTAGAAAATCTTAACAAATAAAAACTTCCAATTATAATAAGATTATAAAATATAAGATTAATACACAAAAGTCAACCACTTTCCTATGTACCATAAATGAACAATTGGAATTTGAAATTAAAAACACAATACCGTTTATATTAGCACCCCTCAAAATTAAATACGTAGGCATGAATCTAAAAAATATGTTCACTATCTATGTAATGAAAACTAAAAACTCTGGGAAACAAATCAAAAAACTAAATAGTTGGAGAAATATTTTAAGCTCATTATTCTCAAGATGTAAGTTCTTCCTAATTTTAATCTATAGATTAAATGCAATTTACATCAAAAGAATTATTTTGCAGGTCCTGATAAGCTAACTGTTTTTGAGACTTGATTCTATGTTGCCCAAGCTGGTCTAGAATCAGTGGGCTCAAGTGATTCTCCCCACTCAGCCTTCTGAGTAGCTGGGATTATAGGCCTGTGCCACCTCACCTGGATCTTGCTAAACTCATTCTAAAGTTTATGTGGAGAGGCAAAAGACTCATAATACTTAATGCACTACTAAAGGGGAGTATTAAGTAGGAGGACTGGCCCTGTCCCACTTGAAGAGTTACTATAAAGCTTCAGGAATCAAGGCAGTGTGGCTGGAGAAAGAACAGACAAATACATCTATGGAACAAAGTAGAGTTCAGAAATAGATGTGCACCAATATAATCAACTGATCTTTGACAAAGGAGCAAAGGAAATATAAAGAAATAAAAGTCTTTCCAARTGGTACTAGAACAACTGGACATCYACCTGTGGGGGAGGGGGAGGAAAGGAAAAAAAGGATCTAGATACAGACTTCACATTTCCCCCCAAATTTTCTGAAAATGAACATACATTTAAATGTAAAATGCAAAAATTACAAACTCCTCAAGATAGTAAGAGAAAAATCTCGATGACCTTGTGTTTGGTGGTGACTTTTTACATACAACAATACAATCAAGCCTAAAGGCTTGATTCATGAAAAGAAAACATTAGCAGGTTGGATTTTATTAAAATTAAAAACTCTGCCTTGCAAAATGCACCATCAGGAGGTTATGAAGACAATCCACAGACCTGAAGAAAATATTTGCAAAAGACATGCCTGATGAAAGACTGTTACTCAAAATACACAAAGATCTAAAACCCGATAATAAGAAAACCCAAATAAGAAAACAACCCCAATAAGAAAGGAGCAAAGATCTAGAAAATATACGGATGCCAAACAAATGTATAAAAAGATACGCAATTTCATATGYCATTAGGGGATTACAAATTGGAACAATGAGATACTATTTCACATATATTACAAAGCAATACTCCCCAATACACCACAACACAGTCTAGGAAATTCTCATTCATGCTGGTGGCAATGCAAAATGACACAGCCACTATGGTGAACAGTTTGGCAGTTTCTTACATAACTGAACAAACACTTATCATATGATCCAGCAATTGAGGTCCTGGAATGTATGCAAACAAATGGAAAACTTATCCACACAAAACCTGCATAGGAATATTTCTATGGTTTGGGTATGGTGTAAGTGTGTCCCTCCTAGGGTTCCTGTATTTGAAGCTTGGTCCCCAGGTGGCAGTATTGGGAGGAGGTGAGACCTTCAAGAGGTGAGTTCTAGGGAGAGGTCCTTACATCAYTGGGAGTGTGTTCTTCAAAGGGATTATGGGACCCCAGTCTTTCTTGCTGCCTGTTTTGGGATACACTCTCTCCTCCTGCATGGCTCTGCCATTTGTCATGGGGCCATTACCAGAGCTTGCCCTATGTTATCTGGATTTTCAGCCTGTAGAACTATGAACTAGATAACTCTCTTTTCTTCCTCTTTTTTTTTTTTTTTTTTTTGTGCAGTGCTGGGATTGAACCTAGACTCTACATGCTAGGCAAGTGCTGTACCACCGAGCTACACCTCTAGCCTTAAATCTTTTTTCTTTATAAAGTTGACTGACCTCAAGCATTTCATTGTGGTAATGCAACACACTAATACAGATATTTACAGAAGTTTYATTCATAAACACCCCAAATTGGAGGCAACCAAGATRTTCTTCAGTAGGTGCATGGATAAAATCTGTACATCCATATAATGGAATACTTATGATTCAGTATTCTCATTCAGGAAATAAGACATCAAGAGGCCAAGAGACAAAATCTAACAAAACACATATAAATACATATTGCTAGGGAAAATAATGCAATCTGAAAAGGCTATAAAGGGTATGATTCCTGCTATATGATATTCTGGATAAATAAAACAATGGCAACAGTTAAAAGATCAGTGGTTGCCTGGGATGCAGGGAGTAATGACAGAGGGATAAATAGGTGAAGCACAGTGAATTTTTAGGGTAGWGAAACTATTTTGTATGTTTCTCTAATACTGGATACAGGCTATTATACATTTGTCAGAACCCATATAACATATAACATTAAGAGGGAACCCTAGTGTAAATTGTGTACTTTATCAGATGATCCAGCAATTGAGGTCCTGGAATTTATGCAAATAAATGGAAAATAGTATGTCAACACTGGTTCGTCCATGGTAACAAGTACAATACAGCAATGCAAGATGTTAGGAGAAGAGTGGTGGTGTTGAGGGGGTAGGAGGGAACTCTCTGTACTTTCTGCTCGATTTTTCTGTAAACATAAAACTGATAAAAGATAAAGTCTATTTATTTAAAAACGAGTTATATATTTTAATTAATTATATGACTTAAGAGTCATATCACTTGGCTTAAGAATATCACTTTTATAAATCTGTTCTACCAAAAATAGTCAAAATCCAGAAGAAAAAAGCGGAAATTTTTTTTGCACCAAGATGTTTACTTAATGCTATTTTTAATAGCAATAAGCTGGTAATTACCCAAAGAAGAGGAAAGATAAATCATYATATATTTATTCAAATATTACACATCTATTAAAATGATGTTTATGAAGAGCTTATAAAAATATTTAAATTACTTTATAATATGAAAATCAGGGCACTAATGAGTTTTGCAATATTTAATTAGAACTATGTTTTTTTTCACAAAAGCAAACAGGCATTAACAATTTGGAAGGAAAAACCTGTTAACAGTTTGTAGGTGGGTGGCAAGATCAGAGGCGATTTTTCTCTTTTACTCTTGAAATCTTTAATGAATATGTATTACTTTCAACATGAAAAAAAATTGCTAAAAGCCAGGGGAAAGTGTGTGTTAATTAATATTTCATTATGAAGTGTTATTTTGTGATTTAGCTTTTGTGACAAAAAGAGCTAAAAAATGTGTGAAGCCCCCTTCATATGTTTTCATGCCCCGTCAAAATCCAAAGGTTCACTTATCAGAAGCTGGTCTAGAGAAACAGCTTCAATTAAACAATGTCGAACTGACGCTTTAGAGTTCAGAGAGCTTGTGAAAGAAGAAAGAGGGGGAGGGCGAGAAAGGGAGAGAAAGAAAGGAGAGAAGGAAAGAGAGGGAGAGAGACAGACAAAGAGCAAAGGACAGGGAGGGAGAGAGAGGAAGGGAGAAAGTAAGAATAATCAAAGAAAAATCAAATAGGTTACATTTAGTAAATCCTATCAAGTGTGATATGTCTATGAAAAATAGTTCATTGATATATATATATTAAATATTTAATATATATGTATAAAATATATATTAAATATTTTTAGTTGTAGATGGACACAATACCTTTATTTAATTTATTTATTCATTTTTGTATGTGGTGCTGAGGATCCAACCCAGTGCCTCATACGTGCTAGGCAAGCGTTCTACCACTGAGCCCCAATCCCAGGCCCCTTTGATATATTTTTAAAAAACAATAAAGTCAGATAAATTTATACAAAAACCTTCCAAAGGACTGGTGCTATTCCATTTTGTGGTGAAACATCTAGGATGAATCTTAGGCCAATACACCATCAGGCCTGTTCTGTGCCMTTGGGCATGGACTGAGCTGCCCGCTGCACATCCTGTAGTCAAGGGACTGCAGGAGGCTGAGGCAGGTGTGCCCGGGGTCTAGCATCRCTGTCTTGGAATCCTGGCTTTACCACTTTCCTGCCCTTGATCAGGAGTGTGTCTCCCAAGGTGGGGTTGCCTGGGTTTGGGTCCTTCCACTAYATGCATGGACTGTGTGACTTTGGACTCTGGATGTGAGTTTCATCCTTGGAGTGACCAAGCTACCACTAGTGCCTATGCATGTGGTTGTGGGTCTCTGTCTTTGCATCAGAACTCTCAGGATGGCCTGTCACACAGAAGCACCTAAGGAACATCTCTTTCTGGTCCTCTCCTCCCACACAGAATACATGGAGCCAGATGGGCTCCAGAATTTTTTTTGGATTTTAGAAAAGTAACACAAGGCATATGCTGTACATTTTGACCAGCTTCCAGACGGTGTTGATTCAGCCTGTAAACATTCACATTCATCGGGATGAGATAGAGACTATAAATCGCCTCACCACCAGGTCAGTTTGCCACCAGAGGATGGGGACTTTCATTACTATTATTATCATTTGCCCCTCTAAGCCTCAAGTTCTCTCATCTGCAAAGTGGGGCCAAGAGGAAAGGCATTGAGCACAAAGCTCAGGAATGTCCCCTTCCTTCTTGGGAATGGGCGCAGAACCAGGGAAGCCCACTCCACCCTCAATCCTTGCAAAAGGAGGTGACTTAGCGGGGTCGCAACAAGCCAGGGTTCTCACCTTCCTGCGGACCCAGCTTCACCGCGTGGGACTCGTGCAGGATCTCGGCCACAGGCCTGCGGGTGTAGAGGATGGTGGCGCCGCTCAAATTGACTTGGACTCGCTGGGCCCGAGAGGTGAGGTTGGTCAAGCACAGAGCCAGCTGCAGGTCGTGACCCAGCACCGGCGGCTCCAGCACCTTGAACTTGCCGGTGATGCTGGGCTTGGTGGCGGGCTCCAGGAGGTCGTCACGCCAGAGACCCCGCCCGCCGGCCCTGCGGATCCACGTCCTCCTCCCCCTGGCTTCCACGCCGAACAGCTTCTTCACGGCCTTGCTGTACACCTGCCTCTCCTTCCGGGACCCTGCAGGGCACCGCACAGATCAGCTGCGAGACCTTCTTCCTCCTCCGCCCGCCGGGGTCCCCCTTCTCCAGGTAGAACTGTCACTCATCACCACTTCAAATTCCCACGGCTCTCAGAGGTCTCAAACTGGCAGCTGGAGAGCCATGTGCAGACCTCACCTCTGCCTGTGTGGGGTTCTCTATTTAAATAAATTTATAATCTGCTGCCAATAACTTCAGAGCAGGAAAATTCACATAAAAATGCAGATTTCCAGCTGGGTGAAAATTCTTTATTGTCATTATAACAGGATGTTGGTGTCTTCTGAAGCCATAGCTAAAAGCTTGGGGCAAAAGACCCCTGTTCTAAGCTGCAGAAGGTCCAGCAGGTGGGACCAGCCATCCACCTGCAGGATCGAGGGAGAGGTGCCAGTGCAGAAGAGGCCTCACCAMCCAGCCCCACCCGACAGTCAAGAGAGCGCCATGTTCCTAGAGATGGGAACTCAGCAAATGTTGGTATGTGTGCGTGCGCACGCGCATGTGCAAGAATATGGTGGTGTCAAAAAGAATCCACATTAAGGTTTGGGGTGTCTGCAACAGGAAGGGGCCTGCTGGTAAAGACTGGCAGTGCCTATCTGAAAAGAAAAAAGGAAGCTGGCATATGTTTTCTCTGGGAGGTCTGCTTACCTGCCTTACTTACCTGAGTGACAAGAAGAGACCTGGAAGGACAGGCTAGGTGGAGACAGCCAGCCAAGACCTCTCTCCCCAACCCCAGGGGAGGCTCCAGAGCAGACCCTGTCCCCTCCTGCACAGCAACCTTCCAGGGTCACTGCTTTAGTTTTTACTCAGGGGAGAGGAGGAGACAAGCTCTCATTCCTATTTGAACCCAAACTCTTTTTACTTAGTAACATTAAAATATATATATATATAGCTTTAGGTGGACACGATATCTTTATTTTACATTTATATGGTGCTGATGGTCGAACCCAGTGCCTCATGCATGGTAGGCAAGTGCTCTACCACTGAGCCACAATCCCAGCCCCAGTAACACTTTTTTTTTAGACAAACAGATGTGGCTGAACACAGATGGATCAGATCACATTTGTGCTCAGGGACCCATTCCTCCGTGGGTAGGGAAGACTGTCCAAGTATATAGTTGAAGGTGACTATGAGAAAAAAGTACAACCATCTTATTTTTGTACCCCAATAAGTACAGGCTTTTTCACAAACCAGCGGCTAATGAATGGCTCTGACAGAGGCCTTGACAGATGACAATCAAGAGYTGCTGTCACTTATTTGGAATTATGTCTAGTGCCATGTTTCCTGGGAGTTCAATATGAAACGTGGGATACTATCATCATCATTAGTAGTAGTGGTAATTACTGTTATCATATGCGAATATTCCTCACAGTGCCTGGCCTAGGTGGAGAGTCAAGGACATGTAGCTGTTATTAGACGTGGAACATCTTCTAACATGGAAGGGTACTTAGCAATCAGAGGAAGCTATTAATTTAACCTAAACAAAGGCACTGGCTCAGAACCCAGGACAATGTCAGTGGAAGCTGTGATTGTCACCAGACATCTGGGAAAGGATCTGGCCCTAGGCTACTGGGAACCAGCCCTCCATAGCCCAGGGGCCATCTGGGGAATTGAATAAAAGCMAGCATGTGGCCCTTACCTTCTGGATACTTGTAGAGGCCGGTGATGTCCACACGGGAGTCACTGCCCACCGCCTTGGTGCTGATGCACCTTCCAATCTTCTTGGTGTCCGAGTACACACGCTCCCGGCTCTCGTCCTCATTCCACAGCCAGGTGATATAGTCGGCATTGACCTCCGCAAACACGAAGGGGCCATCGTGGGCCAGGTGTATGTCACCTTCTCGGATGGCAGTGACTGAGGCAGGGCCACACTGGAACACACCTGGGCAGGAGGGGTGGGCGTGAGCAGCAAGGGGAGGAAAAGCAGAGGTCTGGGACTGGCTGGCGGAGCCCTACCTTCGCTTTCCTCCTGGGGTGTGGCATCCAGAACCTGCCAGCCATTGTAAGAGGGGCCCAGGTCCTGCCGGGCAAACCAGCTCTCGTTCCAGACATGGAAATTCCTGCCATAGAGAGAGGGTGGGTGAGGTGGCCTTGCATGAGATCTGAAGTCCATGGGAGGGAAGCCCCTGCTGTAGACCAGCCCATGAGTGCTATGGCCCCCGCATGTCAATCACGCATTCAACTGTATCCACACAGCACTCACATATATGTGTGTGTGTGTGTGTGTGTGTGTGTGTATGTATATATCACGAGCCTGTTCTTCAAGATACGAGAAATAGAACTGCAAATACGACACAGCGTCCTTGCTTTCATGAAAATTAAATTTTAACAAAGGGGACCCATGGGGATACAGGCAGCATTAAGTTAGGAGATAAATGAAACAAATGCAAGTGACAATGAAAGCTGTGAAGAAAAGAGGGGTTGAGTTAGAGAATAACTGCTGGAGATCTACTCTAGGTAAATGACATCGGAGGCCAGACCTAAGTGCAAAGAAATTCACCAGAAGAAGAKCGAAGAGAACAGCGATCCAGGCAGAAGGAACAGCATGTGCAAAGGTCTGGAGATAAGAAAAAGGTGAGTGTGTTCGAGAAATAGAAAGCAGGTCAATATCTCCTGGGTAGGCAGGATTTAGATGATGGAGAGCTCTATAGACCCTGGTAAGAAGTCCCCAGTTTATCTTCAACTCTGTGTTTAAGGTGAGAATACAAGTCTAGAAAAAGTGACATCACTTGCACAAGGTCACACAGGAAGGAAGTAGCAGAGAGATACCTGATTCCTGGTTTGCCTGAYTTGGCATCTTTACAGTTGGCCTCAGAACACCTCTTTGGGAGGTTGTTGTCTTGGGAAAAATACCTTGATAAACATTTTGGGGTAAGCAGGGGGACTCTGACAGCCTGGGTGGTGACAGAGGATCCAATATCAGAAAGAAAATTTTGTATGAGGAAAGGAAGGGAGGGCATTGGGGCTGGGCTGGTTAGACTCTGACCCTGACCCTGACCTTGATTCAGTAGCCCAGGACCCACCACATGCTGTCTTCTGTCAGGTCCTCCAGGGTCCGCCCGAAGGAGTCCACATATTTGTCCACACTCAGGTTTTTGTCAGTGTCGTGGGCCGAGTTGAAGTTGGACACCACTCGTGTCGCAATCCCCAAGCACCTGAGGACTGCAGAGYAGAGAGCTGGGAGGCTCCAGGAGTRGGCTCTGGCYCCCAGCAGGCTGCTCCACCCCATTTCCCACCACAGTCCCCACAGCCTTTGTCTACTTTGGCAGGTGACAGGGCTGAGACTTCCACTCCCTCAGACGCCATCTCCTGTACATTGTCTCAGGGACTTCTGGAGATGCCACTCTGAGCAGGCTCTGAGGCTGGCAAAACCTCAGTTGCCACAGAAGAGTGACCAAAGTCTAAGGGGCCACAGGGTTTGCTCAGGACACTCAATGAGCTTGAGGCAAAGGGAGGACTTTCTGCCAAATAAAAATCAAAACTCAAGTAAATGAACTGATCTCCTGGTCATTACCTCCTCACCAATGAAGACAGACGACAGCAATGCAAATATATGTAAATGAATGTTAATAGGGAGCAGGCTGAAGAGAGGGGCACCTCTTTCTGATACCTGTGCACATGACTCCAGCGAAGACCCAGCACTGGCCGTACTTGACTGGTTTGAACCTGCTCTTGAACCATTTCTGCAGGATGGCCACGCTGCCGCGCCAGTGCAGTGGGCTGGTGCCGCTGCCATATTTGCCCTGCCACTGTCCTTGCACGACACCCCGGTCATTGTTGCTGTTCACCTGAGCGGAGGAGACACAGTTCCACCCACCATGCAGGCTTCCCACAACAGGAGCCTCACCATTATGAAATCATCTCCTACTTGGACCAGCTAGTCAATTGGGGTCACCCCTTGCTTTTCAATTGCCTGATAAGTGGGGGTCTCTGCTGTCTTAAAAGTACCTACATTTTKGGGCTGAGAGCATAGCTCAGGGGTAGAGCAGGTGCTGAGCAGCCATGAAGCCTAGGATTTGATTCCCAGAACCACAAAAACCAAACCAAACCAAACCAAAACCCTACTTTTTTGGAACTACTTCTAACTTTTAATTATTTTCCTTTTGGATACTCTTGTTAAAAATCATCTATAATTCAGAGCATTTCCTATTTTAAATGATTTATATTTCAGGACTGCTAGTGGGTACAGTAATTAGAGAGATAGCTGACATTTATTGAATGCCAGGCTCTTTTCTAAGGATTTTGTTATTGTTGTTGTTGTTAGCAGGGATTGAACTCAGGGGTGCTTAACAACTGAGCTACACCCGAAGCCCTTTTTATTTATTTATTTTTTTTATTTTCAGAAAGGGTTATGTTAAGTTGCTTAGGGCCTCACTGAAWTTCTGAGGCTGGCTTTGAACTTGTAGTCCTCCTGCCTTAGCCTCCAGAGCTGCTGGGATTATAGGTATACACCATGGTGCCTGGCTATTCTAAGGATTTTTGTTTATACTAGTTAACCTTTTAAGTTTATGGTTCTATTTTCCTCCACAGGTTCTATTGTACCCCCCCCCACGCCCCCTTTTTTTATGAGAAAACTGAAGTTCAGAGGAGTTCAGGGACTTGACCAAATCATATAGCAAGTTAGTTAAAGGGGTGACCCATGAGTTCAAGACCTGGGTGTGGAGCCTKCACTACTGTCAGCTGGCTGTAATATTCTACTGTAGGGGGTTGGCCATTGCTGCTAATTCTCAGAGCGCCAACATCTGTCTGAGGYCTTGAGGTCTGGAGAGCATCCATTATGAGAAGCACAGCTTTGTCCAATTTGGGGATCTCAGATTCCCACCCACTGACCTGAACACCTGCATGGATAGAAAGCACTAGTAGGTCCCTTCACCACCTGTTGTGGAGGGAGTATGTGGCCTGAGGTCAGTTAAAGTGGGCACTCCTCCCATGGAGAGGTGAGGTCTGTCTCTGCCTGCTGCTCTTGCGTCTCAGCTGGCCTCAGACTGCATTGACCACTGTCCATTGTGGAAGTGATGCTGGAACAGTTTTCAGGCCCAGGCCTTGAAGCCTGGCAGGGTCTGCTTCCTGTTTTCTTGAAGAAGTTGCTGTGGGTGAAGCCAGCACTGTGTATGAGATCCCCCCACTGTGAGGAAGCCCAAGCTAGCCATGCAGAGAGGCTGCATGGGGAGAAGCCGTGATGACTGGCCAGGTTTCGCAATTCCAGCCACCCCCCGGCCCAGGACCCTGGCGTGAGAGTGAGGGAGCCATTTTGAACATTCTAGTTCCAGTAGATACTGTGTGGGCAGAAAATAAGGAACTGCYGAGGACCGGAACCAAGGTCCCAGATATACGGTCCCATCAAGTTATCCCAGACATTTGCAGCCACTCAGAAATCCCCAGCTGAAGCATCTTGAAGCAGAGACAAGCCATTCTTATGGTACCTTGCTCAAATTCCTGATCTGTAAATTTTTATACCATTGAGTGTGTGTGTGTGTGTGTGTGTGTGTGTGTGTGTGTGTGTGTGTATGTTGGGCGGGGTTTATGTAGCAATAGAGAATTGAAACAAGGGATGCGTTGGGAACCCCTAGGCTGTGGTCCTGGGTTGGCTTAGGGATTCTTGAAGGAGTCTATATATAGAGGTAGCAGGGGACTCCTCACCATGGCACTGATGATCCTGGTGACATAGATGGGGTTGTGACGATGGGACACATCAGTGGCTGGGTCATCTTGGTGACTGGGGCTTCGGTCCAGGATGGACAGGCAGATATCCAGGATGTCCTCCTCAAACTGCTCCCCAGAGAGGCTGTGTTTAGAGGCTGGAACCTCACCYATATTCCAGACCTTTCCACAATCCCACCTGATCCCACAGTCATTTGTGTCTATGCAGGGGAGTTTTGTCCTAATCTCGTGCCCTGCCTTCCCGGGACATCACAGAACATCCTCAAGTATCAGAAACACTTCCTCAGAGAGTTCCCTGGGGAACAAGAAGCTCAACCTTACTCATGCCCTCCCATTCAATATCTCCTATAACTCCCCACTAGGCACAGTGAAGTCACAAACATGATTTGCTTTTGAGCCACATCTGCCTCCTTGTTATGTTTCTTTGGTTTACATGCTCTAAGCATTGGCTCCACTTAACCTCCTAGAAAGGAGTGGACAGCTGGGCTCCTGGCTGGCTTTTCCCATACCCCAGCCCACATCCCCGAYTGGCTGTGCCCCTGGAGACCTGCCCGTAGTTCCAGCCCTGCGCTCGGATGYGCTTCTCCACGCCTCGGAATATGATGCCACTGTCGTTGAGCACGTACTCCTGTCTCTCTTCCTCTGAGGCCAGAAATACATCGTCCTCTGAAAAGCAGTCATCAGGCCCAGCGTGGGCTGGGGCTCTGGCCCTGCCGGCCTGGGGAAGGGRCTGCATCAGGGCCAGCAGCAGGACTGTGCCTGGAGGCTGACCGTGGCAGGAGAAGCAAGAGGGGCTTGCAGGCTCCCGTGTTGCCACTCTATCAAGCCTCATCCCTCCTGAGCAGTCTTTCCCCAGGCAGGGACCAACCCTGGCCCAGCCCAAGACGGAAGGGTTTTGGGAATCCTGACACCTTTGGGTAGTCCTTTTGGATGCCAATTGCAACCTCATATTTCTTAAATATTAATAAGAAGACTGATCCCAACGACCCCCTGCCAAGGCCTTGTAATGTATCTTGTGCATCACAGCATTAGCTGCACGTTCTCCCAACCATAGCCTCAAGAGTTAAGTGCAGGTATCATTTCTGTATTACAGATGTGGAAAGCGAGGCTCACATAGGGAAGCACTTTAGCAGAGCTGGGACTACCCCAAGGCTGTCTGACACCCCAGCCTTGCTCTCACCTGCACTTGGGCCTCACCTGCCTATCAGGCCCCATTCCCATCCTCTCTGACACCAAGAACCACTGGATTCCTCTGCCCATGCCCACCTCTGCTAAGGCCCAGCTCTTGGCGTTCACCTCCTTGACCCTGCACCTGCCTCCCWCGTCCCATCAAGAGCATGCCCACTTCTGAGGAGGCTTCCAGGAAAACCTCTGACTAGGACTTGGTAGCACTTACCTGGACACCATGGATTGAAAAGGAGAACAAACTCTCCCAGCTTCCGGTCACTGTGCCTCCTGCGAGAGGAAGCCCTGGCGCTCAGCTGGTAGCGGCCGATCACAGCATCGGGAGGGCTGGCGAGGCTGACACTCATGCTGTTCTCCGTCTGCGACTCCTTCACCGCCGTCCAGACCTCACCCCCCTCCAGCTCCGCGGTCTGGAACACAGCTTTGGTGTGGAGGGCCTCGGAAGCCTTGGGCCCTGGACGATAGGAGAGGGAGTCAGGAGACCCTGCCTCTAGGAAACCCGGCCTTGGAGAAGTGGGAAAGCTACACCTTGGAAGCCTCGACCTCACCCCTTGAGGGGCTGGGCGACGGCTGAGGAGAAGGGGCTGAGCAAGCCTAAGAAGGCCAGAGTGGGTCGCCTCGGCTGYCCCGACCCCCAGCCACTCCTGGGACAAGGGGAAAGTGACAGCAGCCTTAGGAACCCAAATCTACCTTATACCTGACCATGAAAGGAAAGAAAAGTTTGAATTCCAAAAGTGTCCACCCTCCCCCGATTTCCATATCCTTCTGGAACTCTGAATTCCTTGGCATGCCTAGGATTCCAGAGAGGTCATCTCACCCACCCTGCCGTCTGCAGGCAGCACCTTCCAACTGTCCCCAGGAAGCGGTTATCAGAAGTCTACAGATTTAAGGCTCCCTTGCAGAGACTTGCTTACCSGCCTGAACCCGGGGCGGCCCACGGCAAGGTCTCCTTTGAGTGGTCACAGGACACAGCTATTCAACTGTAGACCAGAGGGGGCGCTGGCGAGCCCACTTACCTGTCTCCACCGTGAAGATAAGGGTCTCCTCGCTGTCCAGGTCTCCGCTCAGATCCAGGGTGAGGCGGAACGGCTGGCCCCTGCGGACCACCAGCTCAGGGCAAGGATACTCCTGGGTGTGGTGCGCAGCGCCGTTCCCCGACCGCTGCCAGTCCACACTGGTGACTCGGACCCCTGCGGAGGCAGAGCGCAGGGAGATGAGGCCAAGGCTTCGGCACCCTTCTGTCCATGTCTGGCTTGTCTTTCCGTCCTCTTCCAGCTGCCCGCCTGTGTTCATGCAGCCACTATTTTTGTTTATTTATATTTTAAGACAGGGTTTCACCTTGCTGCTCAGATTGGTCTCGAATTTATGGGCTCAAGTGATCCTCCGGCCTTAGCTGCCCAGGTGGTTGGGACCTTAGGTGGCGCCACGCCTGACTCATCCAGCCACTGTCACACTCACCGTTGATTCTCTTTATTCTCAGTAGTTACATTCTATAAAGTCCCTGTGGGCACTGAATTAGTGAGTACTGAACTGTGGCTGGTAAGGAAAATACAGGGTTGGGTTCCTAGGAGCTTAATCTATACCTGTGTTATTGTTTAAAGGCACCCTAGTTAATATTCATTGTTGGTTCGTTACTCTTGAACTCATTTTGCCAATAGCACTATAATTCAATGAATTTATTTAACATTTATTTTCTCTGCAAGGAACATCATAGCCTCCTTGCACTTAGGGACACCACGCAGCATTTCAGTGTTGTGCTGGGGGCCATTTTAAATGGCAGAATTACCCACCCCCAAGAAATAAACAACAACAATCACACAAAAATGCAAAAAAAAAACACAAAAAAACAAAAAAACATGGTTTTAAATGGGCCAAGAGAGGACATTTGTTTGTAGAATGGAAGCTGAATCAAGAAGGCAGAGGGTTGGAGCTAGGGTTGTGGCTCAGGGGTAGAGTACTTGCCAGGCACGTGGGAGACCCTGGGTTCCATCCTCAGCACCACGTAAAAATAAATGAGTGAAATGAAGGCATCGTGTCCAACTATAACTAAAAAATAAATATTAAAAAAAGAGAAGAAGGCAGAGGGTTGCCTGTTTGACTTTAGCTGTAAGCACACACATTAGGCATCTCTATTTTTCACCACTTGTGGGCCAAAGTCTGGAGAGGGTTGGCCAACATGCTTGTATTTTTAAAGGCTTCAGCACCTTCGTATAATCTTTTTTTTAAAAAAAATAGTTTTTAGTTGTACATGGATGCAGTGTCTTTATTTTGTTTATTTACCCAGTGCCTCACATGTGGGAGGCAAGTGCTCTACTGCTGAGCCACACCCCAGCCACCTCGAATAATCTTTTAATTAAGGGAGAGTGGCAGATTGTATTTTCTAAAGATGGTTGCCATTCTACATGCCCTAATGTTATGATGTTGACATGTGTCTCACTGAGACATAGGTATAGCGTCCCATCCCTCCAATCTGGAAGACTTGTGAGTAAAACAGAATGACACTCTGTAACTTCCAAGGTCAGATCATAAACATTGATACAGCTTCTTCTAGGCTCCCTTGAGTTGCCTGTTCTTGGAAAATCAAATGGCCGTGGAGACGCCCACGTGGAGAGGAACCAAGGCCTCCAGCCTCCAGTCTGCTGAGCTCCCAGCTGACCGACAGCTCTGGCTTGGCAGCCAGGAGAGTGAGCCATCTTGCAAGCAGATCCTCAGCCCCCAGTCAAGCTGCCTCAGCTGAAACCAAATGGAGCAGAGACAAGCTGTCCCTGCTGAGCTCTCCCCAAATTGCAGCTTCCTAAGCAAGAAAATGACTGTTGTTGTCTTAAGCCTCGAGATGGCATGGTTTGCCAGCAGCAATGGCTGACAGAAGCACAGGGAGCCATGTCTCTTACCTAATCTGCAACAGCCTCCTAATTGGTCTCACTTGTGAGTTGGTTGGGCTGGTGCCATGGAAGGTCCACGGAAAAGACTAGTTTAAGCTTGGATTAGGCTGAAGGCGCCAGTCTGGCATTGTCATTTGGGGAGAAAGACTGAACATGTTAGAAGGAACTCATGCGGTGACATATGTGCCCCAAGCATGGCAACTCCGAAGGCCACTGCTGTGGCGAGTGAACAGGCCTGCGCAGGACCAGGGTTCAATAGGGACCTTGTGTGGCAGGAGCCGGAACACAACTCCCTATTGCCTTGGGGCTTCTCACACTGGGAAGTAGAATCTTCATGTCTAGTTGCCTCCAACAGTCCTTGGGCAAGAGCAGGGCTCTGAAGCCCCAGAACTTTGAGTTTAGGTGGCCTCTATTTAGTCTGGAAACACAGGAAGGAACCTCCACATCTTGTACATGAGATCATGAGGTCTAACATCAACAGAACTGAAGGAGCAGTTCAGGTTCACCCACATGGAAAATCAAATGTGCGCCAGTCACCATGGTGCACTCCTGTAATCCCAGTGACTCGGGAGGCTGAGGCAGGAGGAGTTCAAAGCCAGCCTTAGCCACTTAACGAGGCCCTAAGCCACTTAGTGAGACACTGTCTCAAATAAAAAAATAAAAAGTGCTGATGATGTGACTTAGTTGGTAAAATGCCTTTGGGGTTCTATTCCCACTACAAAAACAAGTAGACAAAAAATAAGAACAAAACAAAAACCAAACAAACAAACAAAAACCAATAACAATAAAACCTCCAAAGGGRCGGGGAGGGAGTGGGAAGAAAGGGGCTTTTTGCCTGAGGGCAGTTTGGATCTGTGGCCCAGGAATTCATGTTGCTGCTTACCAATCACAGTGTCTGGATACAGGCCAGAACAGGAGGCTAGTGTCCCCTTTTACAGGATGAGTCAGGAGCAGGGGGTGAGGTTTTGGGTAGTAATTAGCTCCACTTGGCAAGCCCCCCGGGCTGGATACAGGGGGCGTTTGGGATTGGATGAGGGTTCCTGGGCCCCAGGATATGGGTTCAAGCCCTGGGGCATCTGTGTTGGATTCCTCTTTTCCTTGCCACAGCCCAGACCAGCTCCAGTCACCCTCTACACATCTGTAGCCTTATCACAGATGGGCAAGAGGGGGTGGGATGAGTCAGAACTGTCATTATGGTTATTATCCCAGAATCTCAGCGACCATCTCTCTCACAACTTCCTGCCCAACATCAAATTCCTATAGCCAAATTCTTGGTGGTTACGTGACTATGGTCCCAGCTTGCAACCTATAAGAGGCCCCTTAGCCAGCCCCCAAGTGTTAGAAAGTCTTTCCTTCTGCTGAACGAAGATCTTTTGATCTTAYAACTCCTTGCCATTTGTCTCCACGCTGCTTCTCTGTCACCCCCGAAGAACATACTTCTTTGAAGCTTTTGCTCTTTGATCATGTGGCAGACATAAAACCTAGGGATCCTGGCTTCCTGTTCCCCACCCAGACTCTGCACCTGCCCCATAACCCACTGTCCTGGTCCCCATGTGATCCATCCTGGGAGCTGCTCCTTTGGTGGTCTGAGTCATCCACACCCATCAGCATCACACCCTGTGACCAGCCATTTGTGGGGTCAGCTCTGGGGTTCCAGGACTCTGCATGGGAAAAGCAACTGTTCAGGTGATGACAGTTCAATTCTGCCCTAACCAGTGTCCTCTCCAGCCCTCAAAGGGACAACGAGATTGATGGATACAGATGAGGGGATCCTACATACAGAGGCAGACCAAGTTGAGGATATAACTGTGCAGGAGATGGATTCCAGACYCGGTCAAATAAACTCGATGTCATCGCCCTATGCTCAGCTCAGATTCTGCTATCTGGGAYTAAGGCTTCTGTCCCTAACCTATGATCAAGGATGCCGTGTGGTTACTTGTCTCTTTCCTCCACTGGATTGATGACACCTTAAAGTTAAGGTCTGGCTCTCATACGCTCTGGATTATCAGGGCCTGGCTGAGAGCCCAGAGTACAGTAGATACTCGGTGAACATTATTTGGATGAACAAATGAGCGTCACTTCCTGTCCCTTGGCTGGGGAGTGACAAGGGAGCTGATGCTCACTAGCATCCTGGACCCGCCCTGGAGGACTGGCACCCACACGCCATCACCTGCCTGGACCCCACCCACCCTATAATCCCTCTAACTCAAGCTGTCACATTCTAAAACCTGCCCTTCCTTCCTAACTTCCTGCTCTCTTAAACTCCTGGGGCTGGGAGGAGGGGCGGGTGTGGCCTCTGCTGCAGGGGGCAGAGTGCTGCTGACTTCTCCCTCCAGGCCTCAGTTGGCCCATCTATGAAATGACCCAGAAGGTTGTCACTCAGCCCCTTGGTGGACACCAGGGAGGGGCTGTGAGTGGCAAGATCTGACACTCGTCTGGTTSAGTGAACCTATGGCTTGGTCCTTCAGCCTGAGGACATGAGGGGTGAGCTCCCGGGCCTGGGCTGCAGGCCACAGAGCTCAAGACTGAGGCTGTACCCTTCAGACCCGGGGAAAGAAGGAGTAAATAACAAGGGCATTTCCTCTACTACCTGTCATTCCAGGGTTTGCACTCCCCCCCGCCCCCAGCTTTACTGCCCTCTTTCCCTTCTTTCTTTTACCATCTTCTCTTGGCCTTCCTTTCCACCCTGCACAGCCAGTGGGAGCCCGAGTTTAGAGGCACACACTGAGTTCTAGTACAGGCTTTCTCACTTGTCGGCTGTGTGACCTGAGGCAGGTGGATGAGCCTCTCTGAAACTCAAGTCTGAAGGGCTCCTGGCTGCCATTTCAATTTTTTGCCAATGCATGCCATCCTGTATCTTCTACTTACTGCCCGAGTGGCCCTGGGTAAGTTGCTGGGCCTCTCTGAGGTTCAGATTTCCTTCCCTAAAAATGACAATCATAAGATCTTCCTCATACAATTTTAAGGAGGATTAAATGGAGTAATCATTATAAGCAGGGTAATGAGGAAATGCAGCGCCTGAGCCAGGAAATTCCAAGGGCGAAGGAGAAACCATTAACACTAGACAGCGAGCTCCATTCAGGATGGTGTTCTCCTTCCAGCACTTAGCACGCTCTGGGTCCACGGTTTTGAGTTCCACAAATGGGGGGTTTTAGATTGTCACCTCTGTCCCCTAAATCTTCCCCATCACCCTGTCCTCCCATCYCCAATTCCTACACACATTGTTTTCATTTTCCTTCTCTCGTCTCTGCCTCCTGCCTAAGCCATCACCTGGCCCCACAGCCTCGGAACGTTTTCCAGCTCATCTTCTTCAGTGCTGTAGGGGAACTGCGGCTCATGGAGGGGGGGACCCTTCAGATTGCATGAGTGTCAGCGTGTCMCTTCTCCTGCTCCGTAACTGTCAAGTCCACA